GGCTGTGTGTCTTGGTGATGCCCCTGGTCCTGTTCTTGTTCATATAGTTCTTGGCTACTATACTAAATCCCAGCCATTTGGAATTCATCAGAACAATTTTTGGCATCCCCTTCTCTTTCCCTCCCTTCCTCCTTCCCTCCCTCCCTCCCCTCTCTTCCTCTTTCTTTCTTTCTTTCTTCCTTCCTTCCTTCCTTCCTTCCTTCCTTCCTTCCTTCCTTTCTTTCTTTCTTTCTTTTCTTCCTTTCTTTCTTCTTCCTTTCCTTTCCCTCTCTCCCTATCTCCCTCCTTCCCCCTCCCTCCCTTCCCCCTTCTCTCTTTCCTTCTTTCTTTCATTGTGCTGTACTGGGGTTTGAACTCAAGGCCTCATGATCTTGCTTAGCTTAGCTTTTTTTTTTTTTTTTTGACAAAGGTTGATGTTCTACCACTTGAGCATACCTCCACTTTTGGCATTTTTTGCTGGTTGATTGGAGATAAGAGTACCATGGGATTTTCTGCCCAAGCTGGCTTCAAACCATAATCCTCAAATATCAGCCTCCTAAGTAGCTAGGATTATAGGTGTGGGCCACCAGAGTCCAGCTTTATTCTTTTATTTCTGTCTGTTTTACTGTGAAATGTGTTACTGTAAAATACTCACTTGTTTCAAGCCAACTTTTTACCTAAGCCCACTGAGCTCCTTCTGCTAGCCTTGGACTGGGAATGAAATGATGGGTCTTGCTTGAGCTGCGTATGAAGGTCAGATTCATGTGTGGAGGGCCTAGGAACTCCTGTGAGCTAAGGGATTGATCATTGTGATATTTTTCCACTATTCAGAGGCCTTCTCTGTGTTCTTTCAAGTCCCGATGTGGCTAGCCTAGACAAACTGACCTCGTGAGAAGATGACAGTACACAGAATAAAGTCTTCACCAAGGCTTCTAAGTATCCTGAAGGAAATCATATCTGTAATAAGGCAATTTTAGTTCAAAGATGACCAAATACATATACACCTTCTCTTGGTCTCTCTTTCTGTCTGTCTCTGTCTCTCTCTTACACACATACATGCACATACACACAGATGCATAGCAGTGGAAGAAGAAACTATCAAACATTCTTACCCACTCTTCCATTTTTAGCTCTCCATACTCTAAAAAGTCTAATTGTCTGAGGACAATTGGCATAATGACATATTCACATTTGAAAGATTATTTTAAGTCCCTTTGCATTGTTCGCCATTTAGTTCAAAAACCTTCCTGTCACCTCCTAGCCACACAGACATGTTTATTCCTTTTAGCAGTGGAGAACTCAGTACGTTTTCCAGTCTGATTTTATCAATGGAAATAAAATCTCCAAGAGTCAGGAAGTCACAAAGCTATACTCCTGTCACTTCTAATCTGCATTTTGTAGGCAGATGTCAGGCTTCTTGTAGTGTTGGATGTGGCTGTCATGTGGGGGCAGGGGATAAAAGCACGGATGTGAATGGGGGGACGGGTCTTTCCTGAATGGAATGGGTGGGCATTCATGACATCTGTCATCTGGGAAACAGCTAGGTTCTGAAACACAAAGTGAGTAGCATAGATGAGCCTGGCAGGGAGAAGATGTCTGCCTCTCTGTGCCTTCTTTCTGAGGCCTGAGCTTGGATTTCAGGAGTGGGGCCTGATGCAGGTAGGATTTGTAAACACTGCTCTAGGGAAGGAGGTGGGAAACACCCTGGAGAGAACAAAGAAGGAATATAAGTAATCCTTCTTGAAAGCAATATGACCTAGATTCCCATTATGCTTTGTGTTTATTTCTGAAGTCGTCTCTGAGGTTTTGGAATGTCTAGTTTAAATGCTCCAACCTGGCCCTGCTGCGTAATGGCATGTAAGAAGGAGCTGAGGACCGATGTACATTTCTCCCAGGGCATTAAAGGGAGGCCATTTGGGTTTCAGTGATTACTAAGAGATACCTTAATGGAGTGTGTCTATTGGGGAACAAGAGCTGGGTCTCAGCGGTCCACCTACTCTTCTCCACATGGTGATTCACCCATTGCTGTTGTCCTTTTATTGAGCAAGCTGCTGGAGCTCCTATAAAAGAAATCCCTTAAATTGTCCTGAAATCTGTCTCCTAGTAACTTTCACCCACAGGACTTACTTCTTCCACTCAAAAATCACAGAGCTGGGCTTGGTGTTGCACACTTGTAATCGCAGCAGCTTGGAGGTGGAAATAGGAAGATAGAAGTCCAAGGCTAGCCAGGGCAAAAACATTAGACCCTTTCTGAAAAACAAACAAGAAGCAAAAGGACTGAGAATGTAGCTCAAGCAGTAGAACACTGTCCTAGAAAGCACTGAAGCCTGAGTTCAAACCCTAGGACCACCATTAAAAACAACAGGGATTGGAGGCATGGCTCAGTTGGTAGAGCACTAGCCAATGAGCGAAAGTGTCAGGTACTGAGTTGGAGTCCTGGTCTCAGATCAAAAAAGAAACACAAAATAATCGTAATCATCCACATTCACAGATTGCTTATTCTGTGCTGAACACTGCACTGAGCACTGCATTAATCTTGTTTATGTTATTGTCCCACTTACAGACAAAGCAATTGACACTGAGGGGGATAAAATAATTCCCCAGGCCAGCCCAGGGGCAGGATTTGAACTCAAGTAGTCTGATGAGAGAGACATGCTGAAATACTCCCCAGAACTCTGAAATACTACCTGTCCTGCTTCTGTGGCAGCTCCACACCGATCTTCAGCCTGTGATCTTGGCCTTTCTTTGAGTCAGGCTGACACCGCATTGCCATCTCTGTCCCCTTTCTCTAGTCCTGGTCAGTTCGTCCTGATGAAGGTCTGAGAAAATGTAACAAATGCAATAGCCTGTCCTACTTTGTCACCCAAGACTGCCTTGGCTGAAGCCTCCGGAAGCACCATTTTAGCAACCTTCCCCTCAGGAGGCTGTACTTTTCCTGTCTGTCCTCAACATCTCTTTTGCCAGAACAACAGGCTCCGTTTTCCCTTCTGATAAATCTGGTCACCCTAAATCTGGGGCTTTGAGCAAACAGGAGCGGCTGGCCCCACGCAGCCCTCATTTCAAAATGCAGATTCGCGATGGGCTTGCTATTTTGGAGGTCTGGTTTCCTTCCCCACACACAGTGGTTTTCAGCCAGAGGGATTTGGGATTTGGCAGGCAAAAGGTGTTGGGAGAGAAGATACACCTGGGCAGTCTTTGTTTCCCACATCTGCCAAGAAGCCCTGGGAGAAAGACAGCCTCTGGTCACCTAATGCTGGGAAATCCAGCTTAGCCCACCCCCTCCTGGTGATCCATGTTAAACACTTGAAGCCTTAGGACTAAAGAACCCTAACTGGTTTTGTTCAGCTCCGTTTTCCCATTTAAAAAAAAAATGCAGCCTAGTAAACATCTGGAAAATGTTGCAGAATTGAAGTTAACATGGGCACCCAATGGCCTGGTAATATTTCTCTAAGAGGTTTGATTTGGCCTTACATGGTTCTTACATTTTTTTGCTCTAAACTATTACTAACATTGAACAACTGGAATATGTATTTAGGGGTTCCTTTTGAAAAGTCAGAAGATCTGTAGACAATGATCCAATCTACAAGCACCTGTGACAAGGGACAGCTAGAACCAAGGCTGTGGGATCTCTTTGTTTATCTTTTTTGTGCCATACTCAGCTTGAACTCAGGGCCTGGCTCCTATCCCTTAAGCTCAAGGCTGGCACTCTACTGCCTGAGTCACACCTTCATTTCTGGCTTTTTGCTGATAAATTGGAGATAAGAGTCTGTTGGATTTACCTGCCCAAGTTTGGTTCAAACATCCATCCTCATATCTCAGTCTACTGAGTAAGCTAAGATTACAGGCATGAACTCAAGTCTGTGCAATCTTTAGCTGGCCACAGCCACTGGACTTGGGTGTGGCAATGCAGATGCCTTGCCTGCCTGATGCCTTCCATAACCTTCCTTGGCATGGAGGTTTTCAGGATGATCTTAAAGCTCCTACTGGGTGCCAGATCTTGTGGATATAAGGTGTACACAGCAGTTCTGAGGTCTTAAAAGGTCTGACATGTGTAAGATTCTAGTTGGGAATTGCAGAATGAATACTGGAAGGGACTGAGGAGGGCAAAGGCCACAAGAACTTGTCCCAATACAGGCTCATGGCGGGAGATGAGACTCCAGCAACTGCTGTGAACCTCTCCTCCGCCCCGGAAAAAAACCCACTATTTTTCTACACCTTCGAGGCGTTCCCATCTATCCAAGGCCTCAGTTTCCCCACCTCTAGATTGACCCAATTGGACGAGAAAACCATATGCCTTCGGTCTTTTCCAGGCCTGGCCTTCGGTGACACAGAGATTCCACTATCAAGGAATGTCTGCCTGGGCCATTCCGGAATTATTCTAAGGACTCCAGCAGCACGCACACCTCCCCGTCCCCCCCGCCGGGCAGGGGCCTGTGAACCCCGCCCGAGCGTGCTCGGGCCCCTCGCCCGGGGGCGGGCCGTGAGCGCGTCCCGCCCTCCACCTGGGGATCAGCGGGCAGATGTTACAACTTCTCACCGTCCCTCCCGCGGTGTCCGCCCCAGGCCCGCCCCGCCCGCGTCCCGCCCGCTCCCTCCCGGGGTCCGGCCCACCTCCCTGCGGGGAGCCCGGCGGTCTGCGTGCTCAGGGCGGGGCGCGAGGCCGGCCCGGGGGTTACGGGGGTCGGGGGCTGGGGGTGGGGGGCGTGGAGGAGAAAGGGAAAAGCAGGAGAAATCCCGGGCCCAGAGGAAGAGCAGAGTTGGGATGGTGGAGAGCGCTTTCGGGCCGCCGCCACGCCGCGTCTCGGGCTGGCCGGGCTAGGCTGGGGGAGAGGGAGCCAGGGCGGCGCGGGGCGGCGCGGGGCGGCGGTGGGCGGCCGAGGCGGCGCAGCGCGGCCCCGACGACCTGCTGCCCGTCCCGGACGGGCGAGACCCTGGGCTGCCCTCGCCCCAGCCAGGCGTCCGGGCAGAGGCCGGCCGTGCGCCCCGGCGAGCGGCGCGCCCCGGGACGCGAGTGCGGCCCGGCCATGCACGCCCTCACCGGCTTCTCTTTGGTCAGCCTGCTCAGCTTCGGCTACCTGTCCTGGGACTGGGCCAAGCCGAGCCTCGTGGCTGATGGGCCCGGGGAGACGGACGCGGAGCCGCCCTCCACCGCTCCGCCCCAGCCTCCCCACATCATCTTCATCCTCACCGACGACCAGGGCTACCACGACGTGGGCTACCATGGGTCTGACATCGAGACCCCCACGCTGGACCGGCTGGCGGCCGAGGGCGTCAAGTTAGAGAACTATTACATCCAGCCCATCTGCACGCCTTCCCGGAGCCAGCTCCTCACCGGCAGGTACGTGTGCGACGGGACGGGTGGCCAAGGCCCATTCACCCCGACTTCCCTTCCCCCAAATCTCACGTTAGGACCTGGAAAACCTGCATGATGGGTTAATTTTGCCCCCACGTGGCTGCTGAGTTCATTGCTAAGTTCCTTGTCTTCTCTGGTCAACAACTTCGTGACTCAACATAACAGTGAATGCATCTGGTCATCGTTGAGCATACTCTCTTTCTCTGTCTTTTCCTCTCTCTCGTTCTAGGACGCATACATTCTACCCGATGTGGAGGAGACAGCTGGTCATTCCTTTGTTAGAAAAACATGGCAACCCTTGACATTTATTTTGAAAGCTTCGTCTATTGAAAGAACCAGCCTCTGTACAAGTCACTTCACTTCCTTGAGCCTCACTTTCCTTGTCTTTAAGATAAGAGGAAGAACTTTTTGGTCTTAAATAAGCTGTGAGTGAAGAATGAGTTGCCTGTCATAGCTTGCTGCTTGGCTGTCAGTAAGCAGCAGCATGCAGAGGACTGAAGGATTTGGGTCCCCACAGTTCAGTGATTAAGTTGGGTGAAGCCCAAAGAGTTGATTGGTGGCAGAGGGATGCGCTGACCCGTGGACCCTTAGGCTAGCTGCTCGTTTGCCCAAGGTTCTATATTTCAACTTCAGAATCCTCGCGGATTGGCTGGGAATCCCAGATGTGCTACTTTCTCCCCAACGGGGCAGGGTTACAGGATTAAAAGAGCAATGAAACAGGAGGGAGGTTGTAGAAGGCAAGATCTGGCCACTTAGGAGAAAAGCCTTTGGCAGGTCTGAGCTAATCCACCTTGGAAAGAGGCCAAGGCATGCTTTCTCCAAGTTCCACCCAAAGCCATTTGTATGAGCTCAGGACCTAGAACCCTAGTTTTCCCTGTTTCCTGGATGGGAGAAACTGAGTCCTGCTGCCCTTGAATCCAAATTCAGTGTCTGTAGGAGAGAGGTCTGAGAGTTCAAGGGCTGAGCAGAGTTAGAAATGGAATGGTGGTGCCCTCCCTTCCTTTGAGCTAACACTCAGCATTTGGATCCAGGAATTGAGAGGACAAAGAAGAGAGAGAGAGAGGAAGAATGTGGGTGAGGATGCTTTTACAGCTGAGGCCCATGGTAGTGATCAAACACACTGAACATTGACCAATCTCCTGAAGAGAGGAAGGAGGGAGCTGCCTGCTGCAAGTTTTACAATAGTTAGCATTTCTCTCCTTAGAGAGCGGTGACTCCGTTTAAGCAATGGAATGAGCAGCCAACAGGGCAACACTCCAGCCCCTTGATCTGTGAAGTTAGCAGTGTACTGCATGGCACCAAGCAGCATCTGCCTTTCTGTAGCAGGCTCTGACTCCTTCCTGTTTGCACATGCATCCAGTTCTTATGCTTGATGAAACTGGAGAGAGCCAAAATTGCTTATTGCACTCACTTGCAAAAGGGCTTTGGGGGCTGGGAAGGTGGCTCAGTGGTTGAGTGCTTGCCTCACATGCCCTGGGTTCGATTCCTCAGCACCACAAACGCAGAAAAAGCCAAAAGTGGCACTTTGGCTCAAGTGGTAGAGCAATAGCTTTGAGCTGAAGAGCTGAGGGACAGCACCTAGGCCCAGAGTTCAGGCTCCAGGACCTACAAAAAAAAGGGGAGCGGCTATGGTAACTCTTAGTGGGTCCACCCATGGTATAAGCAATACTCCACCCCACTCTACCCTATATAGCTCAGTGAGGACTCAAGATGCATGGGTACTTCTCTTATCAGGTCTAATCATTTATTAGCTTGAGTGAAGCTGGAAAAACTGTGTTATACAGAAATGTCAGCCTGATTTGGGTAGACTGGGTTGGGTTCAAAGCTCAGCCCCACTGCTTGCCAGCTGTGTGATCTTGGCCTAACTTCCGCACCTTTGGGATCCTCGATTTCATCTGTACAGAGAGGATAATGATAATCTTCCCTGCTTTGTGTGTGTGTGTGTGTGTGTGTGTGTGTGTGTGTGTGTGTGTGTGTGCGTGTGTGCGCGCGCGCGCATGCGTGTGTGTGTGTGCTGATACTGGGGCTTGAACTCAGGTCCTGGGCACCATCTCTTAGATTTTTCTGCTCAAAGCCCATGTTCTACTATTTGAGCCGTAGCTCTGCTGGTAGGTTTTTGTTAGTCAGTTGTAGGTAAGAATCTCGTGGACTTTTCTGCCTGGGCAGGCTTTGAATAGTGATGCTCAGATCTTAGTCTCCTAAGCAGCTAGAATTACAGCAATGAGCCATCAGTTTTTAAAATAAGGATTGGAGATAATATATGTATGTGGCACATAGTGTTAAAAAGGAAACATAAGCAGAGCCCCTAGGGATGGGCTGAAGATGTCAAGACTTAAGCAAATTTGGATTCGGGGCGGGGGGTGGGTGGAAAATGGGGAGAGTGTGGGATTCTGACACATTTGTGAAGTTTCAGGCTTTGTATTTATTCTGAGGCTTTTTAAGATACCCTAAGATAACAGATCATATAGGGCCTTGGCCATAGAAGGGGGAAGATGGGAACAAGTAACAGGAATTCAGGATTGTTTCATTTACTTCTGCCTCAGGGTGTTTGCCTGTGCTTGTGACCTGGGTTGAGAGGCCGCATGAGCTCATAGCAGGCACGTGGAGCCAGTCTCATAAAACTTGGGAACTGGGCAGGTCTTAGAGAGATTTCCCATTCCAGCTAGCTCACTCATACACACAACAAACTGATGCCTCATGTGGAGAGAGAGTGTCCAGACTGCTTGGATTTATGCTCAAATTTTAGTTCTGTCCCTGACTACCGAGTGACATTGGGCAAGGGCCTTCCCACATCTGACCTTAGTTTCTTTTTAAAAAAGCAGATTAGGGTGGGAAAGTGGCTCAGTGGTAGAGTGCTTGCCTCACATGCATGAGGTCCTGGATTCGATTCCTCAGCACCACATAAACAGAAAAAGCTGGAAGTGGTCCTGTGGCTCAGGTGGTAGAACACTATCCTTGAGCTGAAGAGCTGAGGGACAGGGCCCAGGCCCAGAGTTCAAGCCCCACGACCAACAACAACAACAAAAAATTTATAAAGCAGATGAGGTGTTGGAGGTATAGGTTGGGTGGTAGGGCACCTGCCAATGCTATATAGCATCAGATAGAAAATTCTAGTCCTGGGCTGGGAAGGTGGCTCAGTGAGTGGTAGAGCGCTTGCCTTGCATGCATGAGGCCCTGGGTTCGATTCCTCAGCACCACATAAGCAGAAAAAAAAGGCTGGAAGTGGCGCTGTGGCTCAAGTGGTAGAGCACTCGCCTTGAGCTGAAGAGCTGAGGGACAGTGCCCAGGCCCAGAGTTCAGGCCCCACGACCGGACCCTCCCCCCCCCAAAAAAAATTCTAGTCCTAATTTCAGATAGAAAAACTTAAAAAGTAGATAAATAAAGCATAAGAGTTGTTTCCTTTCTGGCTCTAAAGCCCTTGGAGTGTCACCATTCATTTACTCACTCATTCACTCATCCATTATCCATCCATTCATTCATTTAACCATTCATTCATTCCATAAGTAACTGCCTAAGCATCACTGGGCTGCTAGGAACACAAAGCTATGTAAATGACAGTCCTTTCAACTATCAATGGGCCCAGGAGCTTGTACAATTGAGCATAATCTCATAGCCAAGTAGGATGATGGTGATGTGCCCTAAATGGTAGGAGAACCTAGAAAAAAAATGACTCATTCTTTCAGAGTCATGTGAGACGCTACAGCAGTGGTAGCATTTAGGATGGACTTTCAAGAGTGACTAGGAATTTGCCTGTGAGAGGAGTACTTGCTACAGGCCCCATAACAAATTAGATAGAAACTTAGAGTTCAGGGATTCTGAAGTCAGGAGATGGATAACTTGGAATACAAAGCCTACCCCAACTGCAGCTGTGATTTGATTTTTCTGGGCCTCAGTTTTGCGAGTTGAGGACTGGGAAAAATAACACGTAGGATTTAGTTTTGGTGAAGATTTAAGGAACTGCTGAGCACGTAGTGTATGCTTGGTATTAGCTATTTTTGTTGTTAATGTTATTTTGCATTGCTGGGACTGAACCCAGGGTTTTGCAAATAATAGGCAGATTCTCTACTACTTGAGCCATGACCCTAGCCATTTTTTTGTCAGTTGTCCAGGGGCTCCAACTCTGGCCTTGGGCACTGCCCTGGAGCTCCTTTTTGCTCAAGGCTAGTGCTCTGCCAGTTGAGCCACAGTGACACTTCCCACCTTTTCTGTGATTAATTGGAGATAAGAGTCTTATGGACTTTCCTGCTTGGGCTGGCTTTGAGCCACAATCCTCAGATCTCAGCCTCCTAGCTACTAGGATTACAGGCATGAGCCACTGGTGCCCAGTGCCTTTTTGTTTTTGAAACAAGGTCTTGCTGCTCCCTTTGCCCAGTGTGGCCTCAAACTCCTCAACCTCTCACTTCCATCTCTCTAGTAGTGAAGATTACTGGTGCACACCACCACACCTGGCTCAGTTTTCATTATCGTTAAGTCCTCACTCACCTTCCTAGCTGTGTGATTCTGAGCAAATGGCTTAACTATTCTGAGCTTCAATTTTATCTGTAAAATAACAATGACACCTACTTCCATTGATTTGAGGATTCAGTGAGGGAGTACATTAGAAGGAATTAGTTAATACTTGGTGCTGATTGTTACTGTCTTTGCTGGCACTGGACCAAAGGCCATATCTGGGTGGTTGGTGGGAAGAAGAACGGTCTGATTTACCTTTGATTTCTGCCCCCCTTCCACCAGGTACCAGATCCATACCGGATTGCAGCACTCCATTATCCGCCCACGGCAGCCCAACTGCCTGCCTCTGGACCAGGTGACCCTGCCACAGAAGCTGCAGGAGGCAGGTTACTCCACCCACATGGTGGGCAAGTGGCACTTGGGCTTCTACCGGAAGGAGTGCCTGCCCACCCGCCGGGGCTTTGACACCTTCCTGGGTTCGCTCACTGGCAACGTGGACTACTATACCTATGACAACTGTGATGGCCCGGGGGTATGTGGCTTTGACCTACACGAGGGGGAGAATGTGGCCTGGGGGCTCAGTGGCCAGTACTCCACCATGCTGTATGCCCAGCGTGCCAGCCACATCCTGGCAAACCACAGCCCCCGGCGGCCTCTGTTTCTGTACGTGGCCTTCCAAGCGGTCCACACCCCCCTGCAGTCACCTCGGGAGTACCTGTACCGCTACCGCACCATGGGCAACGTGGCCCGGCGGAAATACGCAGCCATGGTGACCTGCATGGATGAGGCTGTGCGCAACATCACCTGGGCCCTTAAGCGCTACGGTTTCTATAACAACAGTGTCATAATCTTCTCTAGCGATAATGGTGGCCAGACTTTCTCAGGAGGCAGCAACTGGCCACTCCGAGGACGCAAGGGCACTTACTGGGAAGGCGGTGTGAGGGGCTTGGGCTTTGTCCACAGCCCCCTGCTCAAGCGAAAGCGAAGGACCAGCCGGGCACTGGTGCATATCACTGACTGGTACCCAACCCTGGTAGGCCTGGCAGGGGGCACTGCATCAGCAGCCGATGGGTTGGATGGCTATGATGTGTGGTCAGCCATCAGTGAGGGCCGGGCCTCACCACGCACAGAGATCCTGCACAATATTGACCCACTCTACAACCACGCCCGATATGGATCCCTAGAGGGTGGCTTTGGCATCTGGAACACTGCTGTGCAAGCTGCCATCCGTGTAGGTGAGTGGAAGCTCCTGACAGGAGATCCTGGCTGTGGTGATTGGATCCCACCGCAGACACTGGCTGCCTTCCCTGGCAGCTGGTGGAACCTGGAGCGGATGGCCAGCGTTCGCCAGGCTGTATGGCTTTTCAACATCAGCGCTGACCCTTACGAACGGGAGGACCTAGCTGGCCAGCGGCCCGACGTAGTACGAACTCTGCTGGCCCGCCTCGCTGATTATAACCGCACTGCGATCCCTGTACGCTACCCTGCTGAGAATCCCCGGGCCCATCCTGACTTCAATGGGGGTGCATGGGGGCCCTGGGCCAGTGATGATGATGATGATGAAGAGGAGGAAGAGGAAAGCAGGGCTCGCAGCTTCTCCCGGGGTCGCCGCAAGAAAAAATGCAAGATCTGCAAGCTTCGATCTTTTTTCCGTAAACTAAACACCAGGCTGATGTCCCATCGGATTTGATGGGGGGGGGGAGGGGAGTGGTGGTGGCAGGGATCTCGGGTCCCCTACAGCACTCCCCCCCACTGCAGCCTGGCCCTGCATCTTCTTAGGGAGGTCAAGCCTCCTTCTAAAGGGAAAAGGAGGGTGCTAAACCCCACAGTTGAAGAGAGTGGAAATGAACCAGACTGCATGGCCGCTCAGGACCCTGTCCTGCCTGTCCACTGACTCGCTCCGTGACCTCAGGTGACCTCGGTCAGCTTTCAGCCCATCGCCTCATCTGGGAGATGAGCTCTGTGACTTGCTTGGGGCCACGGTGGGGGTTCTGGCTGGCCTCACCACCTGACAGCTGATGGAAGGCCTTGCCTCCTCCTATGCCAGGAGCACCAGATGCCATCTGACCACTTTGTTAGGGGAACTCTTTCAGAGTTGAGGGAGGAGGCATCGCGTGGGAAGGTTGCCCTTCTGGGGCCTTTAGTGCCTAGGCCCGTCCTGGGGCCAGATGGTAAGGGAAGCTATGCTGGAAGGCTTTTATTTCTTTTCCCCAGCACCCAGTGAAGCTGGCTGTGCCCTCAGTGGCTGCGGTTTTAAGGGTGGTGGAAATAGCTGTGAAAAGAGAGCCTCTGAACCAATCACCTCTTTTGACCTGGGGTGTCATCCTTGTCCCCTGGACCTCAGTTTCCCTAGTTATAAATGGGGATGATGATCCTGGAGCTGCCTACCTCACAGAAGACTGGCCATGGTAATGGCTGAGGAGGTGCCTGTCACTTGATTAAAGTGTCATTCCACAGAGGCGAGGACACAGCACTGTGTGTGAGCACCTTTCTTGGGGCATGTGCATCCTTGGGCCCATACATGCATGGTTGTCTAGTGAATGGCAGAGCATGTGGCCATCCTGACCAGGAGTTAGGATTCATGGAAGCCCTGCCATAGATTTACTGTGTGACCTCAGGCAAGTCCCTGACCCTATCTGGGCCTCAGGAGTGTCCTGTGTACAGGATGATCTAAGAGCCCTTTCTACAGGGCCAGTCTGAGTGCTACTGTGTATGTGCATCTAGGGGGCTCAGCTAAGCGGTGGGGAGGAGAGGTGTGGGGGTTGCAAAGCCTACTTGCTGCCTAACACAGCTCCATCCGTACACTGCGCTCTGCATAGCTCCCTTCAGGTTCCAGTCGGCACAGTGTGTGTAGGCGAAGGCCCTGCTGTGAATTTTGAAAATAGTTATTTTTGTCACTGGCAAAGGAGGCCTGTTAGGACTCGTCAGCTTGTGGATGAGCAGGATGGGTGGGGTGGGATGGGATGGGTGCGGTGCAGTGGGGATTTGTCTGTTGGTGGCAAATTTGCATCCTCATGGCAGCAACTGAGTCCTGGAGCAAGGGTCTGGCCTGGCTTGCAGAGTGAGGAGACCATTGTGTTCTGGTTTTTTATTTTATTTATTTTTTCTTTTGTCATGTCCCTCATCTGGAGCCTTTCTCTGCCTCTGTAGTGTTGATACCTGACTGCCAGGGCAAAAGCTGGGGCTTGGCACAGGCCTCAGGGATCCAGGGACCCCAGCATCTTTACCAGCTCAGGAGAGAGGCTCTGAACAAGTCAGACTGTGAGCTGTCCACTTTGCCCGCTGCTCAGGATAATCCTGCTTGCTCCAGATGTTCACGCAAGGCCAACCAAATGTGTAGCCAGGGTTCCATGCAACTTCAGGCTTGTAGCATCTCATGGATGCTCCTCAGTGGCCTGCTGAGTTGATCTTGCCCAGGTTGCCCAAGCTCCAGCCCCAGCCTCCACTTCCTTTCTTATGGTGTCTGACTTTTAGGATCCAAGAGCAGGGCCATAAATAATCTTTCTGTGGTTCACTGGGGGCTCCAAGGTCTCTTCTTTGTGGCCAACCTGGCCCCAAACCGTGTAGACCAGGTGGGGATAAGCTGGTGTCTTGTCCCTAAAAAGGAAACATGGCCCCGTTCTCACCTGACTCAAGAGTCCTCCTCACCCCAGACACTGGCACGCAGTGAGCCCTGACTCAAACTTTGGCTTACAACCTGGTCCTGAGAGCAAGAAGCTGGCTCGGCTGGCTGTGGTGGAGGATCTCTCCTGGGACATTGTTCTGAGAGGTTCTGTCTAGCCATCTAGACTATTCATCTATCCTGGCCCTTTGTGCCAGGCCCCTGGCTGGCACTTCTGGGCATGTGCATTGACCAGCAGAGCCACTGAGGAGGAAAGAGGAGGGATGGCATCCAGGAGTCTGAGGAAGAGGGGCCCAAGATACCGGCTGGTGCCCTTTGCTTCTTCCTTGGCTGAGCCTAGTGGCAGCAGACCTGTTAGCTAGAGGGATTCCAGCCAGGTAACAGTCTGTCCCATGCTGGGTCCTTGCTGCAGAGAGCTGGGTTTGATGACTAGTCCTTCATAGCTGCCTAGGCAGTAGTTTCTGCTCTCAGTGCTCAGTGGCTTACTTAAGATGTAAGCAAGAACCCTTGCATGCCAAGAAGGGAGGAAACCCCAAGCAAGAGAAAGAGCATTGTTCTGGGAGCCAGGAACTCAGGGTTGTCCTCAGTGTCCCTGACTTGGTGCAGTTATGAAACAACAGTCTTCCCTCCCTTGGCCTTGATTCTTATCTGTGGGATCATGTTGGTTCTCTAGGCCTTCCCAACCCTGGTGGAGGCTTGCTGACCCAGGACAGGATTGCTGGAGTTGCTCAGATCCAGACCACATGGCCTTGGGTGGGTAGTTACTGTCACTGCCCATGTGTTTCTGTGAGCTCTAAAGAGAACAATATGCAGATTGCTTAGCACAGGGCCTGACTGAAATAGGATGGCTACTCTTTAGGTCCTTGAAAGCAAATAATGGGTATTTTGTCCCTACCTTCCTGGACAGAAGCAGAGACCCCACTGGGGGAGAAGACCTTGCCAGCTCACCTGTCACCAGGACTCTGATCCTCTAACTGCAGAACATGGCACACAGCCCCTGACTCAGCAGCCATCATCCTCTGTCTTCTGTCTCTCTTTGCTCTCTACTGTAGGGAGGAATTCTTCTGGGGGCACTTCAGAAGACAGTGCTGTCCCCAGACCCCTGCTTTCCCCCTCTGCTCTCAGTCTGGCACCACTCAATGTACAGCATTAATCCACTCACCCCTCATCCCGACCCTCGGCAGGATCGTTTCTCTCGTGGCCCACTTCCCCACTGATTCTGCACCATTGCTGCTGTTAATGGGACATGCCCCAGGAGGACCCTTCAGATGGCACGCTTTCTGTGGTCCCTGCGTGGCCCCTGTAGGACCCTGTGATGCATGTGAGCACACAAGTGATCTGTGGGAGGTAGGATTTGATTTGGCTGCCACAATGCCATCAGAACTCTGATCATCCACTCAGGAACTCAGCCAGATCTCCTGTCATCAAGCATACTTCCTGCTTGCATGCCAGCATGTCAGGCCTAACTCAGCAACCTCCAGGGCAGGCCATCTTCCCTCTTTTCATCCACTTCCCTCCCTCCATTCCTCCCCCCCCTCGGCCCCCCCACTAGCTTGTGCACACCAGCCTGTTTTGAGTACAGTGCACATGGTGCAGACAGGGGCACACGTGCCTGCCATGGCCCTGGGGACTGGGGCGTCTGGCAGGAACAATCCTCCTGATGCAATCATCAGCTCATTCAGCGCCACGCAGCCTGGCTAGCTCCTCATTGCTGGCCACAACCATGCACAGCTGCAGCCTTGCGGGTACAGGGAAATGGTGAGGTAGCAGCAGGCCTTCTCTGCAGGGTGGGGGTGTCCATCATGAGCAAGGCTAGAACCCCTACACTAGGCTGTAGAAGACTCAGGGGTCATTTACACTTATGTGTCAAGGAGGTGTCTTCCTCATCTTCCTCAATTTCTCCCTTTCCCCCTGTCCAGTGATTTCCATCATCAGATGGCCCCTGAGACCTGCCCATCCCCCAGCACCACATTCAAAGGGGAGAAAAGTGTCAGAGAGCAAGAAACAGAAAGGAGGGGAGATGGAACAAGAGCAGATGTGAGAGGGATTGGGTAGGGAGGACTGGGGAGGAAGGGAGACAAGGGAGTGGAGGAAGAAAAAAAGACAAGAAAGAGAAGGGAGAGTTGGAATGAGGAACAGCAGACAGGGTGCTGGGTGGGGCGAAAGCCTGAGTTGGCTCTGCCTCCCACTGGCACATTGATTTCCCTCATGATCTCTGTCAGAGGCAGGGAGGGAGTTGGCCATGTACACTTTCTCCATGCCATTGTGTGTGTGTGTGTGTGTGTGTGTGTGTGTGTATACTAGAGCTTGAACTCAGGACCTGGACCCTCTCCCTTAGCTTTTTTTGCTAAAGGCTAGCACTCTACCACTTGAGCCACACCTCCACATCCAGCGTTTTGCTGGTTAATTGGAGATAAGAATCTTGCCGATATTTCTGCTTAGGCTGGCTTCAAACCATGATCTTCAGATCTCAGCCTCCTGAGTAGCTAAGATGACAGGCTTGAACCACAGCACCTTCCCTCTATGACTTCAAATCATCCCCTAAAATGCTGCTAACTTCTGAACTGCTCTATTTCACCAGGAGAAGAGAGAGAAGGAATGGCAGTCAGGCTAGCTCCAGGCCAGGCAGGTCTATCACCTCCTTTGCTCAGAATGTTACATTTCTATTAATTCAGCCCTATGGCCATTTACTTATTATTTTAGTCATTCCTCCTGCCATGCTAAGGATTGAAGCCAAGTCCTCATGTGTGCTAGGCAAGTGCTCTAACATGGAGCTGCACACGCAACCCCTGTTTACTGATATTTTAGAGGGTACGGTATTCAAATTTACTGGTGTGTGTGTGTGTGTGTGTGTGTGTGTGTGTGTGCGCGCGCACGTGCACATGCATGCCAATCTTGGGGCTTGCACTCAGCATCTGGACTCTATCCTTGAGGTTTTTTGCTCAAGGCTAGTGCTCTACCACTTGAGCCACAGCTACACTTCCAGCTTTTTTGGTGCTTAATTAGAGATAAGAGTTTCACAGAATTTCCTGCCCAGATTGGTTTTAAACTACGATCCCCACATCTCAGCCTCTTGAGTAGCTAGAATGACAGGCATGAGCCACCAGCACCTGGCAGATTTTATTGA